TTAATGCAATAATCAGCCAATAAAAAGCTTTACCAAATAGATTTTTCTATGACTTAGAAAGAATTCCTAAAATCACTTCAAAATGAACATATGAATAATTAGTCTAAGAAAATTCTGATATGACGACCTTTATCCGCACTCGTTTATCAACTTATGTTTGATAGCAACAATTTCACGAAGTAAAATTTCAAGGAAATTTCAGTGATAAGGCCTACTGTGTCTTCGCATAAAGCTTTTTGTCATTTTGCAGTTCTTTTTATTTCTTTGATCTTAACTGAATTGACCGATTATCTAAAAAAAAAATATTAGGTTAGGACTTCCTTGATGAAGGTCGTTTAATTTCAAAACATTACTGATTTTTTTTTATTTATTTTTCATAAATTACATTATTTTTTTTATTTTTATCGAATATTTATGATTTTGTTCACTTATTTAATACTACAAAAATAAAAAATACAGAGAGTTTTGGACATAATTTTATCGCGCAATTAAACTTAAAATGTTATTTGTATTATTGTTATTTGTTTAGAAATTAACCCACATATATTTTTCTTAGATAATAGGCCTATTCATTTAGGACGCAAAAAAATAAAAAAGAACTGCAAAATGACAAATAGGCTTTATGCGAAAACCACAATAGGCCTTATCACTGAAATTTCTTGAAATTTTACTTCGTAAAAATTTGTTTGCTATCAACATCAGTTATAACGAGTATGGATAAAGGAGGTCGTCAAGTTGCATAAGATTTCAATATTTCCTTAGATATAATAGAGACATAATCAATAAACCTTATAATTTTCTTTGATAAAATGGATTCACTAATGATTGATAATGATTCCTTTTTAACCAAAACAGCCAAAGCGAGCCATCAAAGGACATGGAAAAACTAAGCAGTAGGAATGAGTAAAAATATAAACAACAAAATCAAAGAAGAAAAACATGTAACTTTCTTTAAAATTTCTCTCACGCCTGCTTCCTCCAAAGCTGCACGGCTGGCCGCTTTTAACTATGGCCTCTTCATTTTCCAATCCACCCTGAATGTGAATAAAAAAATTAAAAAAGACACTGTTTAAAGGAAATCATAACTATCCAAATAAAAAAATAACATTAACTTTCAACTGTAGAATGGTTTGTTTGGGATCTGGAAGCTCTTTTGGTAAGGCTCTTATTCTGTTTGAGGCGTTGCCTTTTTATTATACCTTTTGTTAATCCTTTTTACATAGTAAATACAGGGCTTTCTGCCCTCAATTTCCCAAAAAAAAAAAGACTTTTAAACTGTAATAACTGACCGTCCGGCCAGCTGAGCCGAAATTTTTAGGGTTCCAGATATTATATATTGATTTATTTTTACATCATTGAATATCGGTTCATGAGTATTATATATTTATTCTTATATCATTTTTTTTTAACAAAAACAATTTTTATTATAAAAAGAAACGGTTACAACATCTAGATGCATGGCAAAATACATTGAGAATTGGGTCAGTATTTGGCCGAGGCTTCCAGCGCCCCATACGCCTCGCACGCGACCATCCAGTAAGGTGATAAAAGCGCCCAGTATTCGACCAACTACGAAAAGCACCAAAGGTTGCCACCAGCAAAACGACGAGGACACGAGCCTCAGCCACATCATACCCCCAAACATAGCGGAACACCACGACGATAAAACAGAAAGAAGCATAACCTGAAAAAGCACATCAAAGATACAAAAAAACAACAAGCAATGAACGTCTTCGACGGCCCCTTCACGGCCCCTCCCACGAGAAACCATCGAACGACCTCGTCTAACACGAACCAGAGAGAGGTCAGATCCCCCGCAAAAAATCGGTGAAATGAAACCACAATCCGAGTGCTCGGATTTCAAAATTCACCATCAAACGATCCATGCAACCAATCCACTTGATCCCTCATATCAAAACCAGAGTTCCAATGATTCACCATATTGATCGTTTCCACCATGTGAACCGGACATTAACAAAATTTTTGGAGCACATCGAATTCCCATATAAATTTCCACCAGCACACAACTCAGCAATATTAACAACATTCACTGTCCGAAACCAGAGACAAAGAGTCGGTCAACAGACCCAGTCACAAACATTGCACAACTTCCCTTCACTACAGTTGATATCAACTGGAGACCTTCAAAGGGGCGTGAAAACAACACCAACACCATTAACAGGTAAAACATCAATCCCCACACCCGATAGGCACATCCAAAAAAACTGGGGAAACCACCTTCAGTGGACGAACACAAAACCAGGGTAATGCCCCTACCTCCATAGAATTACCTTCACCAACACAATTCAAAGATCCAGGGGCTAAATTAACCTCACCATTACCCGTATTTATTACACCGAGAGGATTAGAGATAAGATTCGGATTGGAGAATAACAGAATCAGTAGGATTTCACTAAAGGTTTTAAACCGGCAACCACCGGAGGAGAGCGAATCATAGGTGGCAGAGATGAGGAAACAGCTTAGAGCATTCCATTTTTTTTTGTGACCCACAGCTTTGCAATGCTGACAAAAGCTTGGAACACCTTCAAAAACCACATTTTTTGAACATACCCAAATTTCTCCGGACCCAGCACACCGATTCCGGGTGAGATTTAGAGATATTAATTTCAACCAGAGACGAGCGACTGAGGACGCGATCCCATATATAGCCGTAGTGTTATCAGTTTGAATCGGTCGCCAAAAAACCAAACCCAATTCAAATAAAATTTTAGAGAGAAAACAGGTGAGGACGCAAGCCCGGAATAAATACCCACACAGGACGATCGGCGACTCCTCCGACAGGTCGAGGAGAGGCGACCATTTGATTATTTTCATATGTTATAGTAAATATTTAAAAAAAAAAATTATAAATCAAAATCATAAAAATAAATATTATTTAATTATAATGAAAATACAAATGCATATTACAATATTTATAATGATAGATAAATTTTTTATTAAATATTATAAAAAAGTATTGCACTGGCATAAAAAATTTAGAGTAATTCACAATTTCACATAAGACATATGTCTTTTACTGTCATAAATATTTTAAAAATTTTAAACTTATTCTAATCAATATTAAAAAAAATTAAAAAAAAAAATATCAACTTTTTCCCTCATTTTGGTTACCCCTTCCTTTAAATACAGTAATAGAGTATGAGCTCCCCTTTTTTCATCGTCATAAAAATTAAAAACACACAAAAGCTCAATTTTTGGGCGAATTATTATACAGGATGCTCGGATATCTAATTCAGATCAGTCATATCACTCGAATACATTGAGTTCCGATGTATTTTGATGCCGTGACATGTCTAAATTGATGTCCGAATGAATCCAAACACAGAAAGTAATAATTTGCCCAATTTTTCCTGAGAAATTATTAGGTACGGAGTGCGGACGGGAGAACCGTCTACACACTAGTATAAACAGTGTTCGGTACCGTTCGGTACCACTCGGTACCGCTGGATACCGCTCGGTACTCTGTATCACTTGAATACATTGAGTTCCGATGTATTTTGATGCCGTGACATGTCTAAATTGATGTCCGAATGAATCCAAACACAGAAAGTAATAATTTGCCCAATGTTTCCTGAGAAATTATTAGGTACGGAGTGCGGACGGGAGAACCGTCTACACACTAGTATAAACAGTGTTCGGTACCGTTCGGTACCACTCGGTACCGCTGGATACCGCTCGGTACTCTGTATCTGTGCAGACGGTTCTCGCCCCGTCTACACTCCGCACCTAATAATTTTTCCTTTCTTAGCATCTCGATCTTTACCCTTCTTTGCAATCTTCTACAAAAGCCTTGCTCTCTGGAAACTTTTAAAGAGAAGCAGCCTGCGAATTTTTCTTGTCCATCGTGAATGCCAGTGTCTAATCTCGCTCATATCACCCTCGTTTCTCTGTCATTCTCTCTCTATCTCTCTCCCACCCATTTCTCTGTAGCATAATTGTTTCCGCGATAGAATTGCTAAAAGATAGCGCTAAAGAAAAACCAAATGAGGAGAGGACTCCAGAGAGAGGTAAATGAAAATGCTCTCCTTTTGAGCTTGAATCGCTGCTACTCGCTTTCAGCTCATGAACTTTGATTATTCCTGAGGGTAAGATGGATTTTTTAGGTTCGTCTGCTCGATTATAGAGCCGCGTGAGCACCGTTGGTTTTATCTTTGGCGGAAAGAAGGAAGCGGTGGAGAGAATGGTGGCCGGTGGTGTTGACGAGAAGAGTTTGATAAGTTTCATCATGGAGAACAGTTGCGGTGTTCTGCTCCGAGAGCTTCAGGTCTCTCTCTTTCTCTCTCTCTCTCTCTCTCTCTCTCTCTCTCTCTCTCTCTCTGTCTCTCTCCTCTCTCTCTCTCTCTCTCGCTCTCTCTCTGCGAAAAAAGAAGCCACAGTGCTCTTCTTATACATATGGTCTGCAATTTTCTTTAGATTGATATGTTTTTCGAAAACTTTAATGGAGGGGCCTTATTTCTTGGCGTTGGCCATTTGCCTTTCAAAATTCATATTATTATTCAATCTATTCATAGTTTTCACAGTTCATGGTAATCTTCTGCTTGGCCATCTTTCTTCATCAACTTGAAAGGAAAGTATGCCTTTTTGCAGCACAATCAGTTTGGTAAATTAGAGAAGGAACTGAATCACAATGAACTTCAACAAGTTAACGATTTTCTACTTCTTTTCCATCTACAAAACAAAGCTCTTTCATCTTCTGACAAGAAAATTGGTTCAGAAAATTGTTGATTCCAATTAGTAAATATGCAGTTCTATTGTTTCCTCCTTAATCTGCAAGATTCTTATCACTAAGCTTTTTTTTTTCTTCATAGTAGAATGGTAACAGCTATGTCAATAAATACAGAACCTGTAAACAGATTTTGTTTTTGAAAGTAAAGAAAGAGACATTAGTGGGTGAATTTCCCTAACTTTTGACTGATCTACTCCTTTCTTGACTATTTCTACATGAGAGCAGAACATCTGGGCTGAGATTGGGGAAAGCAAACCAGACCAAGACAAAATACTGTTAGAGATTGAAAACGAATGCCTGCAACTCTACCAGAGAAAAGTTGATGAGGCCACCTGTTCGAAGGCACGGCTATATCAGTTGGTGGCAGCTAAAGAAGCAGAGTTAGCTGCTCTCATGGCGTCCCTTGGTGAACAAACTCCGTATTCTCAGGTATAGACAGGGGAATCATGGAGCACTAATTAATCTAGTAATTGATTAGCACAGAGTTGATTTGTTAGCTTACAATGGCTTGACTTATTGATTTCCCTTCGTGCTCCTTTATCAATTAGTATTGATTTGAATAGATTTTTTATGCTCTCTGTGATTAATTTTGAATTGATTTTTATTTAAATCTTTTTAATTAGTAAAATCATCTAAAGACCGTTAAGCATTTTCCAATTTTTTTTAAAAATTATATAGAGAATTGAATTTATTTGAATCTTATTTTATTTGCTATTAGTTTAAAGATCCTTTTATTATAAGTAGGATCTTTAAAATTAAGCCATGTTTATTTGTTCAATGATAAAATTCTCCTCTCTCTCTCTCTCCTCTTCTTGTTTGGTGGCATCAATGCAAACCCCGCTGTCATGATCTCCCCGATTATTTGTTTCCTCGCTACACTGTCATCCACATACTTATCGCAAGCATCACTCAGATACATCGTGATCGCCATTGCATGTGTACATTGTGCACGCCTGGCTTGATAGTGATGGGATCATGATGTGTGCATATTCTTTTCTATGCAACCATGTCGCTCATTGTTTTGGATCGTCTCTCGATTTTGGTCAATATTACCGAGCTGTATCATCTTCAACCTTTTGGTCCATCTCAGACTATTTCACAGCAAGTTGCACCACTTTTCGGTGGAAATAGGAGATAGTAGAGATAGTACAGAACGTTCATGCGGTCCACAACAGGTATAATGACTCGCCATTACCTTCCAAAATAACGGTCATACATTGTTGTAGATTTTGAAGAATCGAAGAATTTTGTTGGTTGATAACTTGTTGAATTGTGAAACTCAATTTTTCTTTTTGTAGGTATAAATTACTTGACTATTAACTGGATTTATGATCATTGTTCGTTTACAAATCAATTAATCATTGATCGCCCCTGCATAGGCAGTTGAACTAAAAGTAAGGTTGAGCGTCCACCTATTGTCCTACCAGATATTTAGCATGTGTAAGGAGGAGTCCCGCAAAAGATTGAGCAATTGTTTGGGCTCTGAAAATTCGGCCCCGGCCTCCACCCGTTTGTTGCTTTTGTTTTTCGGGCTACCCAGAGATTTCGCCCTCATTTTGCGACGACTTTATGATCTGAGTTCTGGTTTCTTATAGGCGCAAGCCCCTGTAGTTAATTACCCTTTCCGATAATGAGAGAGAACTTTCGATTAAGGTTATTCGTCAATCAGATATATTATATCCGTGGATACGTAGTATTAAGCATATAATAGCAGCATGAGCATAGGTATTTGAAAATAGTTGAGATATTCGAAAAGTTTGATATTTAAAATTGAAAATTTCACAATCTTGCACTTAAAGCGGATGGTGGGGGAATGGATGATGGACCCGATCAAGATCTCATGGTTCCGTCATCTCGGGCCATCGTGGTCCCTGGTTAACTTAGTCAGAGGAGGTAGTCAACCCAACCTGACAGAAGGATCCTTGTTGGCAGCCATGGGTTGCTTCATCCAAGGGGACCTTGTAGACGTGGGGTGAATGTTTGTCTAAGAGGACAAATTTGAATCCATCTTAGCTAACAGAGGGCTTTGTGCCCTATCGATCATATCCTATTGATTCATATCTCGAGTATTTGATGCCAAGAAGGAGCATTGATGGGGACATCAGAGCATGAATCGTATATTAGAGGCGTGGCCGTCGATCTACGACCACGATCGCGTCGATGTATTTTGAGTTATTTCATGTATTTGTTTTATTATGTTATTTTTCTTTTATTATTATTATTTATGTTGTTTTTCCATTTTTACCCCTTAAAGGGAGGTCGTATGTAAGCCCTAAGGGCATTATCGTCTTTCTTATTTTGAGTTTTTTTGTACGAGGCTATTTATAGCCCTCATGTTGCTCTTCAAAGGGTAATGAATGAATGATTATTTGAGAATTGTGTCTTCTTGTTGTTCTTGAGAGAGCTTGAGAGATCGGAGAGAGATCCCTTGGAGAGGGAAATCGACGCATCACCCACCAACCTTGGAGACGGCCGGGTTCGTGGTTCTTTATCTTATCTTCCTCGCAAATCCTTCTTCCCTCACCTAGCCGCCGGCCAAGGTCATCCTCCCAAAACCTTGCCGCCGGCCACTTTATTTCCCTCCACCACCACATAATCTCCCTTACTTTGGCTACACCCAAAACCTTGCTTCCCTTGCTCACCCGACCCCCCTTGCCCCCACATCCCCACCCATGTTTCCACCCAAACCGTCGGCTCGTCTAGCGAAGGCAACAGACATAGTAAGTTCCAATTTTCTAATGCACAATTGTTGACCTCGGTATAAAATCAACAAAAAACAAAAAAAGCAAAAATGAAAATACCTGTTCAAATCCACGAAATCCTCAGCCATATCTGGCCAAAATCCCGCCAAATCGCTGTACATTCGGAGTCTTTTGCATCTTATCGCGGGATCCCCGTTCAGAGCATCTCGATCGCTGCCCTTGCACATCGTTAAATACCGAACCAACCCAAGGCCTTCAGTTGCTCTTCCCACACGAGAAACCCCTGCAAGCTTCCGATCCTCGGCTCTTCCTCTCTCCCGAAAAAACTTGCTTTATTTGAAGTCTTTGATTGGATGCAATAAGGATTCAGTGATGCTTTATTTTATTTGGTTGAAGAAAAAACTTGCTTAGAATGGCTAAGGGTGACACAACAGTAGTGGCGAGAAATTATGAGGGATGACACATTTAGAGGGAATAAAAAAAAAATTATGAAACCTTCAAGAGGACATTCACAAGGCTAAAATTGTTCTTAACAATTATGTTTTAGACTAAACATTTGTTGGCCTGTCACCTAATTAGTCGATGCTCTCAGCTGAATTGCGAGAAAGAATTTTAGCAGTTCTATATGATCATTTGGGAGTTGAATATTTTGCACGGAATCTAAGTAACAGTTTCTATTATTAACATGCCTTCAATTTTGGATTGTCAATAGTAACATGTCATTAATTATAATATTAAAAAAAATTAAGAATTTTTTTATCCATTTGTCCAAGGCAGAACTAAGAACTGCACCTACTTTCCTATTACTTTTGCCATTACAGTTTAATGAAGTAACTGATTTTTAACATTTCTTCAGTTATTGCCTGCTTCATTTCTTTTCTCCTCTACTCTATATAAATGAATCTCTATGCGACTTTCTTCTCTTAGACGTATCCCTATAGGAGTTAATATTAGTTGTCCTCCCGTGTTCCCATTCCATACAACAATATTGTTAATTTTTTTAAAGAGATTTCCTTCTTCCACCAATGAAGTGAAGCATGCAACAATTGATTGCTTCAGCTACCTTCTGCTTGCAGGCAGAGAAAAGAGTGTCATCATTGAAAGAAAAGCTTGCTGCAATTACCCCTTTATTGGAAGATCTTAAAGTGAGAAAAGAAGAAAGGATCAAACAATTTGTTGATGTACAGTTAAAGATCGAGAAAATTACTGCTGAGATAACAGAGAATGGTCGTAATAGTAATGTTGCATGTGAAGAGCAAGACCTTTCAACGAGAAAGCTTAATGAATACCAAACGCAGCTTCACACACTCCAGAAGGAGAAGGTATTTAATTATTTGTTAATCAGATGCTTCTTTGTGAAGTTATTGAACAGAACTTATTATTTTTTTGTTTGTAACTTCAGATGTTAACCGTTACATTTGTCATTTGCTTATAATCAGCAGGATAAAAATGCATATTTAATATCATATTATTACGTTGTACATGGGCTAGTTAGTGATAAACAGCTTCACCTGCATTAAAGCTTTTGCAAGAAAGGAAAAGGAAAAGGGAAACAAAGCATAAACAGAGAAACAATTCAGAAAGAGCTCAGCGGCTCTGGTTTCCTTCTTCCATAATTCTCACTGCTACAGTGCTGGGATATATAGCCCGATTGGCTAAAAACACAATGGCTGTGATTCACACACAGTGATCAAACGGTGAGGCAAATAAACGTACACTGCTATGGCAGTGTTAGTGGGTAACGCATTACATACATGAGCCGACTTATCAATAAGACTAGCCACTTATCCAGTTTCCTTATCAGCCCCCCTCAAGTTAATGATTGGTGGTCGAATCGTTAACTTGTCACGAAGTAACACAAACCGTGTCGCAGAAAGCGGTTTGGTGAAGATATCCGCTGGTTGATTAACTGTGGGAATATGATGAACAGAGATGGAGTGCGAGCGGATGCAATCACGGATAAAGTGAAAATCTATTTCTATATGCTTGGTACGAGCATGAAAAATGGGATTTTTGGCTAAGGCCAGGGCGGAGACATTGTCACAGTAGAGCTTGGTTGGACTGAGGAGGGGGACTTGAAATTCAAGCAATAATCGACGAAGCCAAATGACGTCACAGGCAACAGTGGAGATGGCGCGGTACTCAGCTTCAGTTGAGGAGCGAGCAACAGAGGTTTGTTTCTTAACAGTCCACGAGACCAGTGTGCTGCCGAGAAAGGCACAATATCCGGTGATGGAGCGACGATCAGTCTTATCCGAGGCCCAGTCGGAATCAGCATAAGCCATGAGCTGTAGAGTATCTTGAATAATAGGAAGACCGAGATGCATGGTACCTTGGATATAGCGAAGAACTCGCTTGAGTAGGTGAAAGTGAAGAATGAACGGCTTATGCATGTGAGCACAGAGGAAGTTCACCGCAAATAGTAAATCCGGTCGGGTTAAGGTCAAGTACTGCAGCGAGCCCACAATCTGACGATAAAATTCTGGGCGAGAGTACAGCTCATCATCGGGCTGAATTGCTGGCATGACGGTGGGGAGTGGAGTAAGAACTGGCTTGCACTCAGACATAGCAGCTTTGGACAGAATTTCCTTGGCATAATGAGATTGGCTGAGGTGAATACCATATGATGTGTGAGTTGCCTGTAAGCCAAGGAATTGATTGAGTGAGCCCAAGTTCCGCATGTGAACTTGGAATGGAGGTTCTGAAGCAAGCGTTGAAGCTCAGCAGTGTTGTTGCCGTCAATAGGATGTCATCAACATACACCAGCAAGTAAATCTGAATAGAATTGCGATTGTACAGCAATAGTGAAGGATCGGCTGTGCTTGTGGAAAAGCCATAGGAGATAAGATAAGTTGAGAGTGTCTCAAACCATTGTTTAGGAGACTGCTTAAGTCCATAGATGGCTTTCTGTAGAGAGCAAACATGATGCGGATATTGGGGATCCACGAACCCAGCGGGTTGCTTCATATATACTTGTTCATGTAGTTTGCCATGCAAAAACGCATTAGAAACATCAAGTTGGAATAGAGACCAGCTGTTCGACACAGCCACAGTGAGGAAGAGCCGAATGGTGGAAAATTTCGCCACGGGGCTGAACGTCTTGTGATAATCCAACCCGTGCTCTTGCTTAAAACCTTGAGCAACAAGGCGTGCCTTATACCTTGCAACTGATCCGTCAGCATTGTATTTAGTTTTGTATAACCATTTACAGCCGAGTATATTTTGTCCAGGTTCATGAGGAACTAACCGCCAGGTACCCTGACTTTGAAGAGCTTCAAATTCACTGCTCATTGCTCTTCGCCAAACAACGTATTTAGCAGCTTGTGTAAAGCTAGTGGGATTTGTTGGAATGACCTGATGGTCCAAATCAAACACTGGTTTGGGTTTCAATTTCCCTGTTTTGGCCCTGGTAAGCATCGGAAGAGTGGTAGGAATATTTGGTGTGGACTCAAGAGGCGGGTTGTCAAGGCTAGACACTGAAGGGTCAATGGCCGGTGCATTAGCTGATGATGTTAGAGGGATGAGGGTAGGACTAGTGGAAGGCTGAGTTGTTGAAGGTAAATTGGGTGGATGTGGTTGCAAGGATGATGCAGGAATGAGAGTGGATGGAGTTGGATTTCCATTAGCGTCAGGTGGGGGACTAGACGTTGGCACAGGCATGAAGGGAAACACAGATTCGTGAAATGTAACATGCCGAAAAATATACATTTTTGACATTTTGAAGTCAAAACAGCGGTAGCCTTTTGAGTTAGGAACATATCCCAGAAAAATACAGGGTTGAGATCGAGGAGAGAGTTTGTGCGACAGTTGAGTAGCAAGCCATGGGTAAGCCAAATAGCCAAATGTACGTAAATGAGCATAAGAAGGAGGTCGGTGATAGAGGTATTCATAAGGGGATTTATGTTGATTAGATGAAGAGGGTAATCGGTTTATCAAATAGACTGCCGTAAGTAGAGCATTAGTCCAAAATTTTCCTGGTAAATGAGCATCAAACAACAATGCCCTCATAGTTTCAACAATGTGGCGATGTTTCCATTCATAAACGCCATTTTGTTGAGGCGTGTAAGGGCAAGACGTTTGATGGACAATGCCAAAATTTTGTAAATGAGTTTGGAAAACTGAGCTCATGTATTCTCCGCCTCGATCTGTACGGAGTATTTTAATTTTAGTTTGGAATTGCAGCTCAACCATTTGTTTAAAATGGAGAAATGTAGAGCATACTTCAGATTTATTGTAGAGAGGAAAGACCCAAGAATAGCGACTAAAGTCATCAACAAATAACACATAATAACGGTATGATTGCATTGAAAGGATTGGGGAAGGACCCCATACATCTCTATGGATAAGTTCTAAACACTTAGTAGACCTAGTAACAGACAACGAGAACGATAGACGACTAGTTTTGGCCTGAGCACAGGCATTACAATGAAGCACGCTGTTGACAGCAGGGCTTGACGGAAAAATTGTGGGAAGGAAGCGTTGAGTTATTGATGATGGATGGCCTAGCCGTTGATGCCAAACCGCGATACTAGGAGATGCAGTAGTAGAAGAAAGGCAGTATGTTGGAGAGGATGCAGTCGCTTGAGGATTAATTGGGTAGAGTCCATGACGATTGGGACCGTGGAGAAGAGTTCTGTTGCTCTTGGAATCCTTAATAAGAAAACCATTAGAATGGAGTAAGACATAACAAGGATTTTCGGAGGTGAGTTTATGAACTGAGATAAGGTTGTGAGACAACTGAGGAACATGAAAAATTTAAGGTAATCGAAGCTTACGCAGAGGCGTGGGGAGCAAACCTTGACCAGTATGAGCAATTTGGAGTTGCTGTCCATTTCCAACCTGCACGTTGGAATTTCCAGTGTATGGCTGCATATTCTGAAGCTGAGCTGAATTTGAAGTAAGATGTTCAGTAGCTCCTGAATCTAAGAACCACTCAGCTGGTTGTGAGTTATCTGTCGTGATATAAGCTTGAGGCGTGGAATTGTAGCTGGTATCATGACGATACCAGCAGTTTACTGCTGAGGGCCCTGGCTTTCCACAGATTTGGCACTCAATGGTGGATCGTGTCCTGCGTCCTCCACGATTGGCCGCTTGATTTCCATCGTTGATCGGTGGTCGGCCGGATGAGCTGCGACCTGAATTTGTATGAGTGCTGATTATTCCACGGTTCCTTCCACGCGTTGGAGATCGTCCACGATATGTTCCTCTGGTAGCGGTTAAAGCAAGGTTTGGATCTCCAGATGACAGATTGTTAGAGTTACGACTCAAATCTGCGTTTAAGTGAAGTTCTTCGCTGCACAACATAGAGTAGAAATCATCTATCGCAATCGGACTTTGCATCGTTCGAATCGCAGTCTTGAATGACTGATAGGTTATCGGCAGTCCATTCAGGGTATAGTGTATGATATCTTCAGCTTCAATGGTCGATCCAGCTGCTGCAATTGCGTCGACCTTATTTTTGATCTCAAACAGGTACTGGACCATTGTTTTATCGCCCAGTTGCAGTTGATGTAACTCACCTTTAAGTTGAAGAAGACGAGATCTGTTGGACGACTGTAGCCGTCGTTCAATGGTTAACCATATCTCTTGTGAGGAACTGAGATTGAGTACATACGGTAACAGGGATGCAGATATCGTAGAGTAGATTGCGGATGCTAAATGCTGATCAATCAGCAGCCAAGTGGAGTAAAGCGGGTTGGTCTTACTCTGTCCATTTGAGTCGACAATCTATTTCGCCGGCGGCACAATCGTACCGTCGAGGTATCCATCAAAGTTGTTTGCAGTGAACAGTTTTAGCAGTTGGGATTTCCATATCAGATGATTCTCGGTTGTGAGTTGAACCGTGACCATAGTCTTCACGTTTGCCATGAAAAACTTTAGTTGTTGTGGGATAATCACTTCATTTGTCGTCGAGCTTGAACCCGACTCTTCAACCAGAGTTGCAGACGACGAAGCTGCCATGGAAGCGAACACAGGAAATATCGCCTACAGCTCTGATACCATGATAAACAGCTTCACCTGCATTAAAGCTTTAGCAAGAAAGGAAAAGGAAAAGGGAAACAAAGCATAAACAGAGAAACAATTCAGAAAGAGCTCAGCGGCTCTGGTTTCCTTCTTCCATAATTCTCACTGCTACAGTGCTGGGATATATAGCCCGATTGGCTAAAAACACAATGGCTGTGATTCACACACAGTGATCAAACGGTGAGGCAAATAAACGTACACTGCTATGGCAGTGTTAGTGGGTAACGCATTACATACATGAGCCGACTTATCAATAAGACTAGCCACTTATCCAGTTTCCTTATCAGTTAGATCAGTATAAAACACACTTTTTTTCTAATGAGAGGGACCTATAGCAAAAATTATTTCCTTAGATATTCAAAATACTTTTATAATGATTTTTATTAGCTTGATCACATTCTTACAACCGTTAAGCATATACCGAATTTGTTCGATCCAAATTTGTTTATGGATGATATCAAACCTTACTAGTAGGCTGAACCTGGTGAGCTAGGACCTATTTAAATGAAGTGTAGAGAATATAGAGGAAAATGCTACAAAATGTTTAAAAGAGCTATAGATCTCAAATTAGTAGTTTCCACTAAATTAGTCAAAAGTCCTCCAAATTGTTCCTCATGACCTCTTATTTATAGGAGTATGAGGTAGTAGGAAAGGTAATACAGAGAAAAAGTAAAAAATTACAATGCTACATAGATCACCCTTATAATACTACACACTGCCCTAGACACGTCTCCCGGTGATTAGTTGAGGGAGAATGGGGGATGCAAGGTTTTCCCGATATGTTTTTGGGAAAGCTCAGTTGTGTTGAGTGCGTATTGGGCAAGCTGCGTAGTCAGGTCGATCTTGGTAGTGCCTAGTAGGAGTGTGTGTGCCTGCAAGTGAGTTCCAAGGAAGAAGTGCTTAGATGTTGTGAAAGGTGCTGGCGACTTGTGCCAAGCCTTGAATCGCCTAGGTGAGAAGGCAAGTGACTTGTGATGGTGGACAAGGTGGGCTGGTGGTCTGCCAATCACAGTAGGGTGAGCTGAAGGCTCCTTGAATAGATGTTTTCCTATAGCTGAGTTTGGATGAAGGGGCGGTTGCACTGGAGAGAGCGAGTGACTAAAGCGACACCCTAGCATGTGGCAGGTGCCAGAGTTATTGACTTGGTGAGGAGGCCTTGGTCTGCCATGTGTTGGGTGAGCTCCTTAGGCCATTAGCGCCTTTTAACTCATTAGACAAGTCCTCCTGTGAGCCTCAGGCATGTAGAGTCACTCATATCGTTTAGATGAGTTCATCTTTTGACCCTGAGAAGTCGACTAATGCTTTTACATGCTAGGTGGGCTAATTGTTGGAAATATACATTCTTTCCATGTCAAGCCTTGAACCTAAATTGTATTTTCTTGATGTGCTGGATGAGATAGGAATCAGCTAGTATTTAAATTATGCTTGTCTATATGATTAAATTAGGAATTTTGATTTGTTAGCTGACACATACTATCAGGAGTAGGTTGAAGCGCAGCTGGTGATGAATGTAGATTCCTTATTTAAGTGAAGATATTATAACTTATAATTGATAGCTGAGTTTGATTGTTGCTCTAATATATGATTTTGATCAAATGTTTTCCTAGTCAGCAATGGTACATCTGAAAGTCCTGTGTTGGATTCTTCTTGCATCACCTGGGAGAATTGATGTAGAACAGAGAGGATAATTCAAATGTAGATTCCTTATTTAAGTGAAGATATTATAACTTATAATTGATAGCTGAGTTTGATTGTTTCTCTAATATATGATTTTGATCAAATGTTTTCCTAGTCAGCAATGGTACATCTGAAAGTCCTGTGTTGGATTCTTCTTGCATCACCTGGGAGAATGATTTCCAATCTTTTTATTTAATGACATCTTGAAGAATTATTCATCTAATTTATGTCTTAAAAAGTCATAATGATTCTTGCTACCTTCTTCGCCTAGTCGGATCGTCTCCAAAAGGTTCTGGACTACACAAATGAAGTGCATTCCTTGTGTGGTGTGCTTGGGCTAGAATTCAGGAAGATAGTCGCTGAGGTACACCCCAGTCTACGTGAGACCAGCTCTGAAGAATACACAAATATCAGCACTAAGACACTTAATGGTTTATTTCAAGCCGTCATTAAACTAAAGGAAGAAAGAAAGACTCGAACTTACAAGGTCTGTAATTTTTTTTTTTTTTTTAAGTTAATTCTTCACACTTGTAAGCCAGCTCCTATTTCTCAGTTGCGGGAAACTTTGAAATCACTGCTTGAACTCTGGAAATTGATGGATTCATCTGAAAACGAGAAGCATCATTTTGGGAAAGTCACTTGCATCCTTGATTCACCTTATGGTGAAATTACTGAGCCAGGTCTTCTATCATTGGATATCATCAAGCAGGTTTGATGGTTAATACCCTTGTTTTGTTCTGGAAAATATTACTACTGTAAGATGTTAATCTCCACTACAATGTTTCAGATAGAAACTGAGGTAGAAAGGCTGACAGAATTGAAAGCCAGCAGAATGAAAGATCTTGTTCTCAAGAGAAGGTTAGAATTGGAAGAAGTTTGCAGAAGAGCACATATTGAGCCTGATATGAGTACTGCTCCTGAAAAGACTACTGCATTGATAGATTCTGGTATATTTTTCCATCTACTTCATTCAAAATATCTCATTGCATGATTCATACCCTACTATATATGAAATGTGCATTAGACTCCTGAATGTTGATGTATAAAATTGTGCTTTCAGAGTTTGGATTATCTGGGACTCCATAAACCACCTTCTGGTTTTGATAATTCTATCTTTAAAAAGATTTGTTATGATGGAATCATCATTCAATCCATGAGGCTTCTCTCATCATTTTCTTAAATCTTGATTCTTATACTCATGTGGTGATATAATGTATAATCTTGCACTTATTTAAGAAGCACACATTGAAAAAATTAATCTATATTAAAAGTTGATCCTAAAAACTAGAGTTTGCTATGAACAATATGCAAAAAAAAGGAAAAAAAAAAAACTTTATATTTATTAAGATTTAGAGACTTATGAGTGATATTGATGTAAACATAAAATTGATCTTGATATCAATTTGATGATGAACCTATTCATGATCTCCAAAACTCTGGTTTCTTCCTCTCCTTCTTGAATTTGTGTTAATTGCAGTATTTTTCTTGAATTATAGGGAATCTGGTTGGGACAGAATCTTCGTGCCTTGTATTTTTTCATAAATAGAAGATACAGGCATACTGAAGGGAATATTGGGAGTTGCAATGCTATGGCATGAGATAGATGGTGGGTTGTCTTTGGTTGCGTGTATGAGGAGAGAAGATTGATACTTTGGGTTTCGGATTGTTGATTGAGGATTGGGGAGAAATTGTGGTGGTGTAAGAGTAGGGGCATGGATGGAATCTTTAAGTTTAATTCATAATTTAATCATCTAAATGGCAAATATTCAACTTTTATTCATAAAATAGGGCTTCAAAATGAAATAAAAATAATTTGAATTCAAATCTTGATAACTTCTAAAATCTTTGTCATCTAATTTAGAATAAAGATAATCCTACCAATTAAATGAAATAAAACTAAAGTCAAATTTAAGATAATTTAAACTATGAGCATATTTTAGAAATAGTATATAATTTTTTTATTCATATATTGGACAACATCAAGGACCCTAAAGCCAATACAACTATTCTGAAATGATATGCAAAAGTGCTTTTCTTGGAAGTATGAATTCCAAGGTGTAGGGGGCAATGGAATTGGTTTATGAACTTGTATCATCATTATGTGTAATATGAGCATAGGAAGTAGAATCCTGAGGTTTCAGATCTACATTACATGCATCACACGCCGTTCTCAAGATAGTATTATTGAAGATCCCCTATCGTATGATATTGCATAAGTGGTAGCACAAACTCAATTTGTCAATATCAAATGATCAATTTGATTTCATGCTAGGAAGATTCAAATTTTTATTTTTTGGGAACGGGGGTATCTACCCGCTGCCACCTTAGCTTGTGAGGCGCTTGGCGGCATAACTAGTCCCTTGGCTGACCTAGAAGAGGCACCCACTCCTACATAACCTTCTGGCCCGCACTTATTAGGACCCCACTTAATAGGCGCTGTCGCTCGAGGGGAATCAAACACGGGTTGGGGGTTTCCCATGGGAACCGTACTTGCCCACCTACCAAACTAAGCATCGGTGGGTGGAAGATTCATTTTGAAAGTATATTTTTTTGTGTTAGAAAAAATTTAATAAAAAAGTATATAGAGCAAAGAAAAGATATTTATATGATTTTTATTTGATATCTAAAATACATATGATCAAGTTTCCTAATAATTATTTTGGTAAACAAAAAGAAAAAGATGTGTTGCTAATGTTATTAAATATATGTATGATAAAGCTTTGAATAATATTAAAAGTTTTGTGGAGTGATCAAAGAGTTTTCAATTATCTTAGAATGTGTAAAAATTAGCATCGAATCCTTGCCATTTTGTATTGGTTATGAAATGTTTACAAAAGATAGATCTTATATAGCACTCAATAAGATCTGACTAGCATTGTTGTATCTGCTCAGGTCTTGTGGATCCTACAGAACTTGTAGCTAACATTGAAGCTCAAATTATGAAGGCAAGAGAGGAATCTGTAGGCAGGAAGGAGATTATAGACAGGATCAACAGGTGGCTTTTTGCTTGTGAAGAAGAAAATTGGCTCGAAGAGTACAGCCAAGTAGGTTAACATGAATTACTGTTGCGACTTTATATGTATTTGTTTTTCTATTATAAATCCCTTGTTAATCATTTCATAAATTGCCATTTTCCGGTTTACGCTGATAATCATCTTCATTAGCCTTCTAACATGACAATTATTTAGGATCACCTTTATGGATTTTCAATTTTATTTTTGTTGGTCCCTCATAAAGTGTCAATTATATTTTCAGCATGTCTATAGGCTATCTGTTATCACATTTAATCCACTTGTTCTTCCTATTCCTATATTACATGCCATCAACTTAGCTTTCTAGATCATTTTTCCCCTTCAATCTACATCCTAAACCACCTAAATTCTTTTTCCCTTCTCTTATTTTCATCATATTCTACTTTCTCTATCTTGCCAAAATAATCATTATTCACTTCATCCTTCCTAATTTTACAACCATTTTTATACTCACATTTTTGTCATATTCTACTTCATTATCCGAGACTTCTCCATTGTTGAACACTCACTTTAAATGAAATATTTGGTTCATTCATAATTTTATAAAATCTATCTTTAAACCCTGTTATTTTCTTGTATTATATAGTGCTTTCAAGACGCTTCTAATTTTAACCTCCTAGTTTAACTCTTTAAATCTCTGTAATACTCTTTTAATATATAAATGCTCCTAGTCTACTTCTTCATTTAACTTTTAACTTTTATTGTGGAAATTATATCCACATTAATATTTCTAACATATACTATGCCAAAAATATAAACCTCAATTGATAAGGAGTATCTTACTTTTTGAGTTAGGATGAGAATCGATATAGTGCTGGGAAAGGAGCTCATCTAAACCTTAAACGTGCAGAAAAGGCGCGGGTGATTGTAAACAAAATTCCAGGTATCTCAAACTACACCGAATTTCTCCTTACATTGATAATTAAAGCCTACAAATTTTAGTTGCTTACTTTTGAAACTTTTCTATCCAGCTATTGTTGACAATCTTATACTGAAAACCTTTGCTTGGGAGGACCAGAAAAATATGCCCTTTTTGTATGATGGGGTGAGTACATGTGATCAAGTTTCTCCATATATTAGTTCTTTTCATGATTAATTTTCCCTTCTCACACAATTTTGATTATTTAGGTTCGTTTGATATCTATACTTGAGGAATATAGACTGACTAGGAAGCAAAAAGAGGCTGCTAAAAGGCAATATAAGGTAACTATTCTTTGCTTTTTCTAAACTGAAACAATAACCTCTATTATAGATACCCATCTTGCATCTTCTCTTTTTCCACAGGATCGCAAGAAGTTATACGGTCCTCTTGAAAAAGAATCAGTGTATGGCTCCAAACCAAGCTCAAGGAGGAGTAACAGTTTAAATTCTGAGATGACTGGGTATCATATGGATGTAAATGGATTCATGACTCAGACTCCTCGTAAACTAACTGTAGGATGCGCAACTCCTAAGCTTCTGAGCCCACGTTCATATTCCAGTCGCCGTAACAGATATTTTAGGGATATTAGACGGTTATCATCTACGCATTTGAATTTTGTTAACTTACCAAGAGAAGATACCTCATCTTCGTTTGCATCCATTAGTGGTTCAGAACCCGAATCTTCATCGCTTGGTTAATTTTAACTGGTATGTCTCCCCTCAAACCCTTATATTTGACTAAGATTTCATTTGGGACGGCTTTCTTACTGCTTCTTAAAGCAGCTTTTTTGTATTAAAAAGCTGCTTTAAGAAGCAGTAAGAAAGCCATCCCAAAGGAAGCCTAAATGTACCATTCCTGATATATATGAACCTTGTATCAGCACCACTAGATCAGTTTCCCCAACTATCCTTTGTACTTAGCTTTTATAGAAAGTAATCCCATGGACACATGAAGCTTAATACTTGTTTTCTCAGCAAAAAAGGAGTTTAATTAGCTTCATATTTAATTGCAATTCGTGAATTAGATAATAATTTGAAGAAACAAATACTCATCTTATAGATTAAAAAATCAGAATATTAACTTGAATCTCTTAATGCGGATCTTGGTTTTATCATTGCCTATGATAAAAATCTTTGAGCAGCTAAAGTTGTCATGTATGCTCACTAGGATTTATTATGTGATGATCTCTCTCTTGCATAACTGTTTCAATCATTTATATCAACTATTTGAGATCAAATTTATAAACGTTTCTTTTTCAATCATTTATGTTGAGTGCTGCTTAAGATGTTAATTTTATTTTATGCAAATCATTTTGCACAAAGTTTTTATATGTTTTCATAAATTTTTTACAAGAATTATTTTATTGTCTTTAGGATTTAGCGCATCTCCATTATATATGCCCAAATTCTCTGAAGTCTGTTTTTTATTACTTTTTTTCTTCCAAAGGTGCTATCCTCTATCTCTAATATATTATTCTGAATCTTCTTTTTTTTTCGTTTCTCTATACAACCATTTTTGCATTTATCATTTTATCTAAGTATATGATGGATTTACTGCATTACATGATTATTTCTTCAATTAACCTTACAACAATGTTTTATTTTTCCAGGAAATAACTATTATGGAATGGGAATATCAAGACTTTACAGTAGCTAGCATCTTCAGTTTAATATTTGTTGCTTCTGAAAGCTTTAGGAGCAGTTAGTTTACATGGTCAGGGTAGACAGGAATCGCTAGCTTGTTACTTAGCTTTGTAGTATTCATATGAGTAAGGTGTTCTTTGGCTTTGAATGCAAATAGTGCTTTGTAAATAAGTTGATGATTGTCTGGTTAGCTCTTTCTTAGTGTTTGCAAGGAAATGTATTTGAATGATTCTTGTTTTGTAAATAGCTTGAAAAAGTTGCATTTAATAACTTTGCCTCTATGCTCTTATGAGATAATTTTATTTTCTTCCCTCTTATAAATAACCTGGAAAATATAAGAAAATAATAGAATTAAAGGATGATTTAATTCAAATAATTACATTAATTTTCATCTCATCTAGGCTTCCAATATTTCTAATGAGCTTTTGTGTATGTTTTTCTTATTTTCCTTTCACCAATTTCTCTCATTCCTTTTCTGAATTCTTCTAGACCGAATACTTTAAACTGTCCTATATTGAAAATCGCAGAGATGAGGTTTCTCTCTCTTGAGGAGGTCATTGTTGGTGTAAAGGATTGAGATATAACATTGGTTTTTATGTTCTTGGAAGGAGACCTTATTATGATAAATTTCTTGTTTCTATTAAGTCTATGTGGGTACTAAAGATAACCTCAATATCTTTACTCTCTTTGAAGTTTTTTTATTTTCTTTTTCTTCTATTGTGGCATAGATTTTGAGAATACATGGTGGCATTGGTTCATTGAGGGAAAAGCCATTATTTTTCAAAAAAATGTGTTTTTTTTTTTTTTTGGCATTTTCATAGCAATGGGCTCTCTTTCTCTTATTTTCATAAACAAGAGAATAACCTTATTCGATCAAAATTGAATAGAGCCTCGGTGAGTACTAAATGATTATGTTTCCCTTTCTACATATAAGATCCCCCCTCGTTGCTCACACCTCGTTCCCATTAATGTCTTTATTAGCAATTTTCTTAAATAAAATCATAGATTTCTCTTTAAAGTTTTTTGGACATATTGTATTGACATGATGATACCATTAAGAATGTTTGAAACATTTTTGTTAGAGGAGATTTGATTCTTGTGCTTTAGAATGAACCAAAGTTTATCAAATCAAGTATTAAGTAAGCCATTTTGGTATATTTATTGTTTCTCCAATTCTTGCAATATGTTCTCCAATTTCGCTAAACTCAGAGAACATGCTCATATTTTTCTAAATTTGGAGTCTGACTCCTTGAACATTGAGTTATCAAAGAAAGCCAAAGTCATTCAAGATAAGCTTTTCTTTCACTTCATCAACTAAATATAGTTGGACTTGTTAGAGAGTCAAGCAAACTACTTTATATTTGAAGAAGATGGCTTGAAATTCCTATAAAAAAATCAATTGTAAGCACAATCACAAACATATTGAAGAATTGGACTCCTTTAATGGAACCTTCTCATCTCAATCTCTTATTATCGTCTTTGAAGTCATTGATAATTTCCACTCTATTTTCAATTTGGATAATCACAGCTATGCTTCTCAGATGGAATTTTGTGATATGCCAAATGATAGAATACTTTCTATAAATGAGACTGTGAAGCTCCATCTCTTATTCTCTAAAGAGTATATCAAATAGGTGGTTTTTTATATAACAACAATTTGCTCGGCTTTGATGGTTTTGTCCCAAACTCTTTAAAAAGTATTGGGTTATGATTGACCCTTCATTTATTAAAGATGTGCTACAGTTTTAAAATGAAAAAATGCCTAATTGTTTCAAACATGTTATTATCACTCTTATTATCAAGAAACCTTATGAATATATGATCTTTCATTTTTGGCCCGTCTCCCTTTGCAATGATTTTTACAAAGTTGTAGCTAATCTTTTTACAAAAAGAATTAATATTATGCTACCCAAAATAATAAATCCAACTTGGACTTCTTTAGTAGAGGGTTGAGACATTTTGAAGATTATTGAAACATTAATACCTTTATGCCAAAGTTGATTAAAAAAACATTTTATAGTATACAATCATCATGCACTGTGGGCTCTGAAAATTCATGCCCCAGCCTCTCCATGGCTCCTTTTTTTTTTAGTTTGTCGAGGAAAGTTCTAACAAGTAAGTTCTGAAGCAAATTTTTATAAAATAAACTGGGTTTTAGATAAGACATTACCCAGATATTTTGCCCTCATTTTATGAGGACTTTATGATATGTGTTTAGATTTCTAATAAGTGCAAGCCCCTATAGTTACTTACCCCTCCTGATTGTGAGAGAGAACTTTTGATTAAGGCTAGTCATCAAACATATACGTAGTATATGGCGTATAGTAGCAGCATGTATAGGTATTTAAAATTAGAAATTTGCCACCTTGCACTTAAAGTGGATGGTGGGAGCAATGGTAACTGACCCAATCAAGATCCCATAATTCCATCATTCCGGGCCATCATGGTCCCTAGTCTACTTAGTCATAGTAGTTAGTCAACCCAACTTGACTAAAAGATTCTCCAATCTAATTTTTATCTAGTGCGCTAACCTCTTCCATTCTTAGTTAAGCATTTTACTCTTGATTGAAATCATGCTTAACTGCTACCCGAAGTGACTGTAGATCGATTTCTAGTTGCAACACTACCTCAAACCCGAATACTAATGCGTAAGGAGTATCTTTGTTGGCATTTTGTAAGTAGTACGATGCGCCCATATCACTTCTACCATCTTAGTGTGTCACTCTATTTTATTCTTGATAAGGATCTTCTTCAACAGCTTTACTAGTGTTTTATTAAAAGGCAATGCTAGGCTATTTTCCCTCGAGTTTTATATAGATAATTAATGCCAATCGATTTAGTGTCGATCAATGAATTTATAGATTTTGATACTCTTGAATGATATATCGTTGTCTGAGATTATGCGGGTCGATGTGTTAAATCTATAAACAACTATATGGGTGAAGAAGTTGATCATATGCTTGGATATAACTTCTTTGAACGAAGCCACTTCTACACACTTATAAAGGTAATTTATTGTTGCCAGAATGAAGCAGTATCCATCTGTTGACAGCGGATCAATCAGCTCAATTATATTAGTCCCCCAACATTCAAATGGCTAGGATGCCACTATAGGGCGCAACAGATTTTATAGTTGATGTACAACATCACCTTAGATTTGACACTCATGTCACCTCTTATCATGATCAATATAATATTTCTCTAATGCTGGCTAGTAACAACTCATTCTCTTAATTTTGACTATCATTTTGGGACCTGATTGGTGTGCATCATAAAGTACATGAACTTTTGCTACCATCCTATCAACTTCTTTATTCCCTAAATTTATCTATCACATTTGTTCAAAATCTCTTCAATACAGCGTGTTATTGACAAATGTGTATCACAAAGCTCTCTTCCTGATTTGCGCAACTAGCCATTTTTATGTTGGCAGTTTGCTTTCTCTGAAATAGTGGATGAACAGTGCCTCCAATCATCTTGTTCTTCAACATCCAAGCAATACCACTATAGTTTTGAGGCAACGCTAGCTTTGCGCCTCCTTTGGACTACTGGAATAGTGGGGGGGTGTGGTGGAGGGGAAAAGGCACAATAGGTGTTAATCAAGTAGAAGGATCTACCAGAGTATGAAGCCATGTGAGAACCATTCGAGACAATCAGGAGGCAATTCCCAACCTTCCACCTTGAGAACATGGGGAGTATTGATACGAAGGTAATGGCAGCAACCCAAGTAGCTAATAGATGGGGTCCAATAAGAATCTAATTACTTATGTTATAAGGGGATTAATTAAGCAAAGAAAGTTGAATTAGGAGGGTAATATATTAGGAAAAGGGGCTAAGGAGGTGGGGGAGCTTATTTAAAGGGAAGTTTAGGGTTATTTTGCTTTTGCAGAATTTGAGTTGTGTTTGTTGTAGTTTTCTTTTATGAGGGTTATTTTGTTTTTGCAGAATTTGAGTTGTGTTTGTTGTAGTTTTCTTTTATGAGGGTTATTTTGTTTTTGCATAATTTGAGTTGTGTTTGTTGTAGTTTTCTTTTGTGAGGAATTCCTAACGGCATCTAGGTTTAGCGTGAGAGACAATCTACCTCTCTTATGTCTAGATCATTGTATCTTACTTTCATATTGGAGCATTAATACAAAAAGTATCTTTTGTTTTCTCAACTTATTGCTATTATTGTTGTAATCCATCATTGTTTTCACCTTAAGGCGCATCAGACTTCTTCAAAAATTTCATCAAGTGGATAGCTGGATGGATTTGCTCTCAATCTTTTTTTTGCAATCATTAACGAAGAACTTCGTGACTATTTTGATTTTAACATTAGTCTTCGACATGAATGCCCCTTATCTACCTAATTATTTACCATAAAGCTGGATGAGCTCTCCTCAGCCTTGGCAAATATGTGCAATAATATAACTTATGCTTTTGTATCTCAAAATGGTGTGGTGACCTCTCATTTACTTTTTGATGATGACTTGCTATTTTTTGGTGAAGCGAACGAGTCCACCATCAATGCTATGCTTGGAATCTTAAACTTACTCAAAGAAAGAATGGTATTAAATGTTCATTTAGATAAATCTAATATTGAATTCGCCAAGCCAGATAATAATCAAGCCTCCCTATTGACACTTTTTGGCATCTAATTGAGAAAAATTCCCTTGACCTGTCTTCAGATATCTTTAATGAAAAGTTAAAAAAGGTAATGTAGCATTGTGAAATGAAGTTATCTCTGTTGTGGATATTGTCAATTTTGTCATTGTTGGCACAGGAAATGTCGGGGCAATGTGGACAATGCTTAGTTGAATCATGTTTGTGTTGCTGATGATGAGGTTGTCGTGCCTTTGAATAATGTTCTTGTTGATGATAATGAGGTTGTTGTGCCTTTGGCTAGTGGGGGCTTGGATGGTGAGGTTGCTGATGTTTCTGGAGGTTGTTTTCCTCCTTTAATTATTGGGGTTGGGGACGCCATGGACTCCAATGTTGAGGGTATGGTTGTTGTGCCTTTGGCTAGTGAGGGTATTAAGGCTAATAACTACATTATTAACCTTATAGCTACCCCCATTCTTTCTCTTACTTTAGTTAATGAGGTTGTTGATGTTGTTGAGGCTACTTCTGGCTCTCCTATGATGATGTTGGAATTGCTTATTGACATTCCAATTTCTCTCATTTATAATGAGGCTTTGGAAGCTCAATTGGCGGGTAAGTTGGAAAATAATTGTCTGGAGCAAAATGATTGGTTTGATGATTTTGACTCCTCACCCTGCAGGGGTGATGGGGATGACTTGGATGGGCATAAGGATGCTGTTCAAGCAAGTTATAATTTGAATGTTAACTGTATTATTGAAAAAACTTTGCTTTGGGTGGTGACAAACGTCGTAGGAGGAAGCAAAAAGGAAAAAAGTTTGGTTCTCCTCTGCTGATGTTGGATCATTTTATTATGTTCATTATTTTTGTGGTGTTTTTGGTTGTTGGTTGTGGAGCTGTTGGTTTTCCCTTTTTTTTTGTTAGGGTGGTGACGTCTTCCTTCTCTGGCTTCTTCTTCGTTGTTGGAAAGTGGTTGTTTTTTATTTCTTTGACACATTGGGTTTCTTCTCCTTTTCCTGATATTTTTTGTTATGTTCATTGCAGGCTTCTTCCAGGTTACTGTGTAATTTGATCCACGTTGGATTGATGTTGATTGGTTGGGAGTTTTACTTGGGAGGATGTTGTTGTTCAACTCAATCTGTTGTTTCATCTTCTTTTGTGGCTTTGTTGGCTCATTGACTTTGTCTTATTCCTTGTTTTCTTTTCTATGAGTTTTTTTGTAATGGATCGAATCAAAGACTTGTAGGTTTTACTTTAAATGTTGGATTTGTAGAGGGCTATTGATTCGCTATGAACTAGTAATTCCCTTTTCATATTAACGCGTGCCCCCCTCCCCATGTGAATTTATCAAAAAAAAAAGTTAAAAAAAGGCAAATTATTAACCCCTTTTTGATAATCTTAATTACTTGATTGTAGGTTGGAAGCACAATTTATTCTCTCTTGATGCTTGCAAATTATTAAATTTTCTCTTAACAACTATCTTTCCTATTGATTTAGATTTTCTATGCATAATGTCTCCATTAAAAAGATTAGCATTCATTTTTTGTATTCCTCTTTGATGATGGAGAAATTAAGAAAATTCTAATTATTGTATGAAATAATGTTGCTCTGCATTTGGTTAATGGAAGCCTTGGTTTTTTTTTAATCTTTTTGAACCCAATTATATTTGCAAATTCAAATGCATAAAGAAGTTTATCTCTGATAATTCTCTTTTGTGAAATTGGTGGTTGAAGTTTTATTAGTCACTTCAGGGAATTATGAGGCTATTTGGTTTACTAAAAAAAAAAGAATGCCGAGTAAAATAATCTATTATAAAATCGTGGTTTGATGAAAAAAGAATGAATGTAAAATTCAGATAAAATATCTTTTCACTCCCTAGTTTATTTTTTGTATATTTTAAACTCGCCCAATTTTGGCCGAATTCTCTTTTCACCGTAAGCTAATTGCATTGATGTCACTCGTCACAACCCCCTGTTATTGTCAGTCGACTACCTGCCATTGTTGTCGGTCGTAGCCACCTGACCATTGGCTAGTGTCGTCAACCACCACCATCATTTTACTTTACATTATATTCGTTTTACTTGTCAAACCAAAAATAAAATAAAATAAGAAATCTTTTGCATTCATTTTCCACTCATCCAAACAATCTCAAACTTTTCAAAAACATAATATTCCTTTTACATTGCATTCATTTTACTTTATATTCCTTTTTAAGTAACCCAAATCATCCTTAAAGCTCTTCGCGATTCTCTCACTTTTGATGGAGCCATACAAATGTTAATCCTATTATGAGAAATTATCTTTATTACAAAGTTGAAAATGGCAAAAGATTCTCACTTTTTTTATCCATGGATCAAAAAGTACGCTTTATGGGATTATTTGGGAATGTGTGCTTTCTCCATGTTTAAGTTTTCCCTTCAAGCCCTTATATGCTTTATTATCTCTAATGGAACATGAAACAACATCCCACATGATTTAATCAACTTTCTTGTTTGCCTTAGTTCTGATATATGTATTTATTAGGATTTTATTAATTTTGATTCTTCATTTTTCAATTTGTGCGAGCCCTTAAAATATCAATTTGGTGCATGATTTATCAAATAGGGTTTTTTTGGTTAAGTTTCATTAGACAATTGAAATGTACCATTTATTAAAGATATATAAATCTTAATATAATATAATTAGTATAGTTACTTAATGAGATGTTAAAGATAAATAGGTCCCAATTGCAATTGTTCGATTGTATGTAAATTTGATTGTAGAAAAAATTTAATAATTATCTGTGTAATTACAATTTTTTATGGGGATTTACATGCATATTATATTATTTTTATATGTTTATATATCAAATTTTTAATATCAAATATTTTGTCAAAATGTAAATGTTAGGCATACAAATATATAAATGACATTTTTTATATGGAAGTCCAAGCGTTTGAGATGAAGAAAAAATAAGAATATCAACAAATATGCAATATTGTGCTTTGCATCACATATTTCATAATTATGATATATTATATTTTTAAAAATCAAACAATTAAAACATTTGCAATAAAAGAGGTCAAAATATTTGGAATAAATGTAATAATCTTTTAAAGAATTTTTAAGAAAGAAGATGCATTGATATATTGTATAAAACTTATGTATTGATATATTTAATGTCCAATTTTATGTGTTTATTTAATATTTAAAATTAAATATTTATTTATGTAATATTTTAATATTTAAATGAGATATAAACAAATATTTAGATATTTAAATAATATTGTGGCATATGCGTAAATTCTACAAAGTACAAACTATTTTTACTGGGTTAGGCCAAGGGAAGGAAAAATTATTAGGTGCAGAGTGTGCACCGTCCGCACAAATACTGGGTACCTAGCAGTACCCAACGGCCTTAACTATTAACTGGAGCCTCCCCTGCTTATGGGCCTTTTGACAAATAACCAGGATTTAAGATTGGACAAAGCATGAATACCAATATGTATTTTACAGGAACAAAAATGTTAAAAAAAAACTTATTTCCATTCATTTTGGTATTGAATTACCATTCTGAAAATCAGTATATAGCATTCTTATAGCCAACTCTCTTGTCATAACTAAGCATTCTATGGCCGAACCTGTTGGATTCAAGGCTCGGTATAATAACATAACAAAAGATTAGTACATTTATGTGAAGACTAATCGTACATCCTATTGAAATAGAGCCAACGCATAAACCTTCTTCGATTGAGCAATTAAAGAAGAAACAAAATGAAAAGATCAGTCAGTTCTCCTCTTCTTTTGGAGCTTCTTCCACTTGAGAAAAATACTATAGGAGAGACCGGAAAAAACCATGAAAACGCAACCCCATTGCTTTACTGATAGAGGATTCCCACTCAGCAAAGAGGATACTACAATGCTTACAAATTTGCGGGTTGTCGTGATTGTAGTGTTGGCAAGAGAACCAAAGTTGTTGATCGTCAAGAAGATAAAGTTTTGGCCCACAGCTCCACAAAGGCAGAACATGAGAATATCCCATGCCACTTCTGGGTGCTCCTTGCAGAAACTCACTGCAGCATAGCCAGTTGCATTGGGCCAGCCAAACATGTAGACGACATTATAGATTGTCCCCCAAAGATTCATTCCGAGCATAATTTCCCATGCACTAGTCTTCGGGTATCTAAAAAAGAAATTATATATTATTTTGGAATGATCTGGCATGTACTCTTACAGTGTATCTTAAGTACAAGGTTGTGAAATAACCTTTCTTTGATAGAATCTTGGGTTGCATTTGTAAAACCATCAAAAATTAAGTTTAAGAAGCAGAGTCCGTAGCCATAGGGAGCATTCGGGTGAGCAAGCTTGCTTATAGTTTTTGAGCTTGTCTGGCGTGGATTAGGATTACAAAGACATGTTAGTTTAAATAAATGAATGTATTACTAGATATTTTTTTTTTCAGGTTGTAGATTGACTAAATTTGGAACTAGCAGGATTGGATAGCCAACTCTTAAATCAATCTATTTTATTTAATTCTCGATGAAATTCAAGGAGATGTGAAAGTGGAAGAAGACTACCTTGGAAAGTGCAAATGCGGATACGCCTCCAGCAATGAGGAAAGTGCATATATATTCAGGCAAAGTATACTTTATACCATATACAAGAGCACCCATCAGCATAACTGCATTTTAAACAAGCATATTTAAGTAAGTACCAAATGACTATTCATCATCATCATCATCATCACCATAACTTTGAAATCAAAATGTAAGTTGATTGCAATAAATTAATCCCCCAAAAACTAAAGAAGATTTTACTTATAGGGTGGAACAGTAGTTACATTAAAAAGTGAAAATTTTATATGTCAAGACATTGTTTTCGATGATACTCTTAGTACTCAAAATGATAGGCATGAGTAGAGTTCATACATACTTGTGGACCTCAAAAAAATGCCTCATTGAATTACAGTAGAAGATTACCCTATGTGGACTAACATATTTCATAGTTCCATGTGGATGAATAAAAGGTAGCTTGAATTATACATTCCACCAAGATTTATTTTAATTCTAGGAGTCAATAGTTCTGAAAGGAGAAAGCTCCAATTGTACAGTATATTTCCAGTATGTATAACAAAATCCATGATGAAAGAAACTGATTTGCATTCAGACTAGATATCTGGCATAGATTGTTAGTATATGGTGTTCTAGTTTGCTAACCCAAGAAAAATCTTGCTGAAAAAGTTCAAAGAAAACCCTACGCAATCAAACAAAATCTATTGAGAACAATAGATCGTTAGGAAGAACAAAGGACTTCTATCCGACAACACTGGATAAATTCTGGCCATTATAACTTAGAACTATAGCTCATTGAGTTGTTAGAGAATTGACTTTATAACTAAAAAAATTATAAAAAATGATAGAGAGGGCAAACCTGATTAAAATCTCTTATCATTTTGATATATCAAATCCATAATTACTAAGAGGATAATTTACTCAACTTGATTTAAAGATACTTGTCATTACTCATTTGCATCACCTAGGGGGATTTATTAGATTTTGGACCTAAAGAAAATACGGTGACTAACCTAAGGGTTTGGGAGGATGACCTTCGTCAATATCTTAGGGTTCCATCACCTCGGACTATCAAAGCCCCGGTCCACTTTGTCAAGCGGTAACTTCAGGATCCTAATGAACAACCATTAGTTGCGTCATTCAAGAAGACCTTGCAGGCCTAGTGAGTAGCAATACATTATGCCCTAATTGTATGCTGATAAACAAGACATACTTCACAACCATAGAGAGAAGCCCAAACTGAACTCACATTACTACCCTAATTACATTGCAAGTGTTATGTATGTATGTATATATGCATTTTTAAACATACATATATTTATTTTAAAATTTTCCATTTCACTTAAACCCAGCTTTTTAGAATATTACTATTACTATGTATGTATAAGTTAGCCAAGCAACGAGATAGGAGAATAACTTAATTCAAGTGAAGTGCATTAAAGATAAAAATAAAAAAGTATTTTTCTTAGAAGATAATATTCAACATAAGTGGAAAAGATATTTTGATAAATGTTTAGTGAGGATTGTGAGAATACAATTGATTTTAGTTATCTTAGCTGGCTAGCTGCTAAATGAAAATAGAGATTTTTGTTTTTATTATCGTAATAATAAAACAAAAGTTGGAGAGACTTCAAATAACATGAAGTGTGAAAAAATAGTGGAACCAAATGATATTCTAATAGAGGTATGAAAATGCTTAGAATATCAAGGAATTTTTTTGCTTACTAAACATCTTAATATTATTTTGAAGACTAAAAAGATGTTAGATGAGTGCAGAAAGAGTGTGTTGGTTCCTATTTTGATAGGAAATACTTGATTCCAAGTATTTCCTAATCACTTTAGCCAAAGATCTCATAGCAAACTGCTGTCCACAGCAGGAAATCAGCCAAAACAGTGGGAAAACACGAGAAAAACTATAGAAACACGAAGTAAGAACTTGTATTTTACTAGAAGATGAAAGGAAATAGAAAAGATACAATTGATCCTCAATTCGAGAGGAGGATCGATCTCTCCCAAATCTCTAGACGCCGCTAGAGCCCAAAGAAAACCTAAATCTAAGAGATCTCAAATTTCAGCCAAATTCAAGATGCCCAAACCCTAGGAAAAACCTATATTTAATGCATACAAATCAAAAGGAATTCCCTAAACAGTCCCTATATTCAAATTTCTCTCTGAAACCCCCCAAAAATCCTTCCTAAAACGCTCTATATGAGCGGTCGGCCGCTCGTTCTGGCGGAAACTCCGCCTATTTTGCGACTTCGCCCCCGAACCGGTCCCGTCTGGACCGGCTGGACCGGTCCAGTGGACCGGTCTAACATATTTTTAAAAATAAAGGTGATGCAAAAGAGTATGTGAATGATAGAGGAATTAAGTTAATGTGTCATACAAAAAAATTAAAAGAGTAATTGAGCAAAGGTTATAATGTAATAATAATGTTTCTCAAAATTAGTTTGGATTTATACCGTGTTGGTCTACTATGGAAGTTATACATTTGTTGAGAAGTCTAATGGAGAAGTATAGAGAGAGTAAGGAGGATATGATAAAGTTTAAATATGTATAGAGAGAGTAAGGAGCATAGGTTACAATGTGTCTTCATTTACATATGATATTAATTGATTTAGATAAAGCATATGATAAAGTTCCAACAAAAGTGCTCTAGAGAGTTCTAAAAAAGAAAGGAGTTAATAATGCTTATATTCAAGTCATTAAAGATATGTTGTAGGCTCCAAAACTTCTCACACCCCGGTCTCTCCACGCCAGCTCCTTTCTTGCTTGTGATGGTGAAGAGTTTTAATGAGCTTAAATTCCGAGTGAGTTTTTAGAAGACATATTGGGTTTTTAGATAAGACACTACCTAGAGATTTCGCCCTCATTTCACGAGAACTTTATAATCTAAGTTCTGGTTTTCTATAGGAGCAAGCCCCTCTAGTTAATTACCCCTCTCGATAATGAGAGAGAACTTTTTATTAAGGCTAGTCGTTAAAGATGTCATATAGGTCGCAAATCCAATGTATAATAGCAACAATTTTAGGGTTTGAATTTGGGATATGAATTTTGGAGATTGAGACTTTAAAGTTTATCATCAAAAACTTAAAACTGGTGATGTAGGGAATGAATACGAGTCTGATCAAGATCCCATGGTTCCATCATTCTGAGTCGTCATGGTCCCTAGTCTACTTAGTCAGAGGAGGTAGTCAACCCAGCCCGACAGAAGGCACCTTATAGGCAGCCATGTGTTGTTTCGTCCAAGAATACCTTGTAGACCTGAGATGGTTTTGTTTAAGGAGATATATCTGAATCCACTTTAGCTGACAAAGGACTTTATGCCTATTGAATATACTATATGATTCATTACTCAAGAGTTTGACATCGTTAGGGAACATACAGGCTTTGACCGTGATCGTAATATAATAGTGTCATTTTTGCGGCAAAACTACCAGATTAGATGGCATTGCCCCGTCCTTGCTGGCAAGAAACTATTTGAAGAATAATCTTAGTGATACACCCGACACGACATTCAATCTTTGTGAACTAAGGTTAATTTTAAATTTATCACCCCCGACAAACGATTGAGGGAGGTGGATTAGATTCAAAAAAATTTTAGGTGATAGATTCCATTTTAGGAATTTAAAATTTTATTGGATTTGAGATTTGACCCCACCTGTTGATATTTACATTCAACACAGCCATCATCAGGGTGATATTAAAACCACTTTTATTTTTGTAGGAATTTTGAGAGGCATTTTATGATTCAAGTCAGGTCGATTCCAGTCCTTTCATGAGGATGATATAACTTGAATATTTGACCAGCGTAGCATTCTCAGATATTAGTGTTTGTAAATTTATCGCATTTTTCGGAGCACATGTGGGATATAATTTAATGTGATTAGGTACCCCTTATTGTTATCTAGTTTCTCAATTTAGACTTGATCTTTCAAAGTTAGGTGGAAGGATATAAGGCATTCACTTCTTCAGTGTTATTATGATTAATGCTCTTAGCCTCAAACTTATTGCTTCCTTCAGTTTGAACAGCCTCCTCGACTAGAATATCATTAGTTCAATCATCCGAGTTTACAAATCTCATTGGCTTCAGATGATGTTATGGCTTCATCACTTGGAGTAGCCTCATTCTTTCCTTTTCGTTCTTCATGAGTTGTATGATCTTTACCACCAATTCCTGATATTTCATTACCAGCATCTCCTGTCGTATTCCCTATCATCTGAACTGCTTCGACAGTGCCTTCAGATGATTTCTCAATTTCTTCAATAGATACAATGAAATTCTTTATAGGATTTTTCAATTTCTTCAAGCGAGCTTGCTTGCAGTATGTATCCTTCTCCATCAAAACTGGGCGAGTTTAGTTTACTTCATAAATGAATTAGGATGATTTACACTACATTTACTTAACTTTACTTCGCATTCTTTTTTTATTTAACCAAACTTCAAAATTTTCAAAACCTCTATATTTGGAATACTTTACACTCTTATGTAATCCAACCAAACAACCCCTTCATAAGTAAATCTCATAAAATTCTGTAGTCTATATGCAGAATAATCATCAGTTTAACTAAAGAACAAACAAACAGATTATAAACCAGGTAAAAGCCCTGATAGAAAAGTTGTATTAATAATCAGGGAGGTTAAATTATATGCAAAGGTTCAAAATAAAAAATCAAAACTGAAATAACAAATAAAATAATGACCCACATGAAGATGAACATCATTGCCAAAAGCGAAACATACAGAATGATTCACAATTTCACAATTATTTTCATCAAACTTCAAGCACATACACGTTCCATCATTTAAGATACTTGGCACTGCAGGTAGATGATATTTCAAAAAATGACGGAAAATTTGAACAACTACCAATAAGCTATTTAAGTTATTCATATTAAAACTTTTAAATTAACAAGAAGCAAGAAGAAAAAGCCTGCCAACTAACTATTCTTGAAACTCATGATTTTTCCAAGCGTAAATAACATTTTCTTTTTTTTCGCAAAACGTGAATAAGAAAAACAAGAATGGCATAAATTTAAATGCATTTCAGGAATAATATCGAAGATGACAGTAGTGGTATAGAAAGTTAATACCTTATTATAGCTAAAATTAAAATTTAAAAAATGTTAATTCAAAAAAATATATACATCTACAGATAGACGATGAAAGTGTCATTGGCATTAGCAATCTCACCTGGAATCATTTTTGAAGACTTTGCCAGCACCTACACATCAAACAAAGTAAAAATAGTATAGTTCCATGGATTTTAACAAAAGTTTCTCTGCAATATGAATTTGAACTTTAATAAAACATATTCCGATTGAGATTTTCCAAGGAAAAGCACCATAGTACGTAGGAACCACAAAATTAAATCTAAATATCATAAAAACGCAATTTATGGTCATTTCTATACTTCTTGAACAAAATTTACTTATAGGGGAAACCAGAACATAGTTTTCAGTAAAGGATTTTTTTTGTAAAACTAATTCATCTATATTGGAAAGAAAAATGAAATCCAACATTAATGCATAAAAACACAAGCTGTTATTGAATCTTTCAAATTAATTATATGGACAAATAAAATAAAAAACTAGTTTCGTCGGCCTCCATTGCTTCAACTGATATATGAAAGTGAAACAGCTGATTCTTAACGCAGGCTAACGAGCCCAAATAGACTGCACACACAAAACCAGGGCTCAGAGTACAGGAAAATATATCTACCAAGTTAGGCAATCATCTTCTAAACCAACTTGAAAATCAGCAAATGAACAGAGAACCCAATGCAACTTTCAGGAGTAGATTTAGGCATTCATGGCAAGCTCACTTTAGGTAAAGTGATCTTGTCCAACCAAACATAGCTTGTCATCAATTCTTCTAGGAAATTTATTTGGAATAAAGTTTGTTTTCAATTTGGGTCCCCCATAACAATAATTCATTTAGTACAACAATAATAATAACAACATCAAGCCTTTATCCCACTACGTGAGATAGGCTACATGAATCATTTTTCTCCATTTTGTCCTATTAAGAGTCATATTCTCATTTAAATCTAATAAAGAAAAGTCGTTTCTAACATTTTCTAACCAAGTCTTTTTAGATATACCTCTACCTTTTTTAACATAATCCAAATCTAATATATCTATCCCCTGACCAGGTCATCGAAAGGCCGTCGATTTATGTTACCAAAACATCTAAGGCGACTCTTTCTAATCTTATCTTCCATTGGAGCTACTCCAACCTTTTCACATATATGCTCGTTAAGTATCTTGTCTCTAAGAGTAAAACCACTCATCCACTTGAGCATCTTCATCTCTGCAATACTTAACTTAATATTATACTTCTCATTTAATGGCCAATATTCTGGACCATAAAACATTGCAGGTCTCACCACCATCTTATAAAATTTTCTCTTAAATTTGAGGGGGGCTTTTCTATCACATAGAAGCCCGATGCATTCTCCCACTTCAACCATCCAACTTGAATTCTACTAATAATTCATTTAGTACATTCAAAAGAAAGCTCAGAGTGGCATATATTCATTCAACATGATATACCTCCTCGCTGAAATCTGGAGAAAAGCTCAATCTTACCATCATCATTAGCCTTATCCCACTATTTGGTGCTGGCCTGATAGATTCTCATTTTTTATTAAATCAGACTGAGTGTTGTTTGATTCATTAAATCCATTCTTAACAAATTATTTTGAACAAAGTCTATTTATTTACCTTGGGTCAACTCCCTTTACTTCCTAATTCTCTAACACCAATTTTATCTGTATGTCTAATTTGTGCATTTTTAATCTTTTCTTATACATGTTCAAATCATTCAAGTCTATTTTCAATTATCTTATCTTCAATAGATTTTACTCAAACTATTCATCTAATATAATAATTTACTAAGTTATCATTCCTAATTTTTTTTAATATTCAAGATCTTTTTATGCTCAACTTAACTATCAACAGGTTTTTGTACTACCCAACACTGTATCCATATATGATCAACCCAATTGTAGTTTCATAAAATTTATCATTAAGTTTCCATGATTTCCTCATATCATATACTACTTCTGAGGCACACATGGAATTTAACCAACCAGACTTATCTTTAAAACATATATTCTTAACTATATCTCCATTTATTTATAAAATAAATGCATGACAATTCAAACTATACAACTACGCATCACTTTATTTTCTACATAACTTATAAAAAAATTAATTTAAACAATTTAAGGTGGAACATTGGAAGCAATAAACAAGCCCTAAATTTGTCCATCTCAATCAATGCATGGCAGCCGAATAATATAATGGAATGGTTACACAATCACTTTTTTAAACAATGTGATAAAAAACACTTGAGTTCCCAAGTGTTTCTCACCAAAACTGAAGTTGATCCGATGGAAACTGCTGTCCACAGCAGAAATACAGCAGAAATCTGCTGTTTACAGCAGAAAAACAGCAAATTGACAAGGAAATCTGATAGAAAACGAAGAAAAACTCTTGTATTTCACTAGTAGATGAATAAAACAGCAAAGATACAAGCTGGATGGGTGTTCGGACTTATTCTCGCTAGTGGCATTCGTCTTACCGGATTCCCCGCTCGGTTCCACCACAAAGCGACAAGCAGTGCTACCCCGTGGATGGCGGTTCAGTTGAATTTCAGCTTTGAGGGCATAATTGACTGCTTGAGAGAGTGTCCAAATGGAATTTAGCTCAAGTTTGTCTTGAATAACTTCCTTCAGGCCCCCGATGTAACGTGCCATGAGTTGAGTTTCTGATTCGTTCAAGTTATTCCGGGCGCTCAAGCTGTAGAATTCCTTTGTGTACTCGCTAACGGATCGAGTGCCTAGTGAGCAGTGTTGGTATTGTACATAGAGCATTTGCTCGAAGTCCGTCGGCAAGAAATGCCCTATTAACAGCTGTTTCATCTGGTACCAGCTGGTTACATTTCCTTTCCCTTCTCGTCGCCTGGACTGCAGCAGTTGCATCCACCAAGCTCCCGCCCCGCCCTTGAGACGGCAGGCAACATACTTAACTTGTTTTTCGGGCGCTATCTCCATGTAGTCGAAGAAAGCTTCGACAGCTCGCTCCCAATCCAGGTAGTCTTCGATGTGTAGGCGACCATCAAAGAACGGGATATCCAGTTTGATGCGGAACTCCCCTGGCTCCTGGTGCTGCGTTGGATAGCGGCGGGCAGGCTCATAGTAAGTCGGTCTTTCCTCCTCTGCAGAATCAGACACCTCAATCTGCTACTGAACTTCCACCTCGTCTTGTGAGTCTGAGATTATCGGAACTGCATTGTGACGCCGCCGACGCGGATGAGGACGCAATGTCGGTGTGGTTGCTGGCGCAGCTGGTCTACCCGTCGTGAATGGTCGATTCGTCCTCAGGGATCGAATCTCGGTTCTCATTTCTGCCGAGAACCGAAAGAACTCCGTGGTGAGAGCTTCCATCTGGCGAGCCATGCTAGCTTGAGCTGTCCACAAAGCCTCCACGCTTCGATCTTCCTCCGTCGCGGGGCACTTGCTTCCCTCTGCCATTAAGCCTCGCTCTGATACCAAATGGTGTGAAAACCGGTTGAACCTGCAAAACAAAGGAAAGGTGAAGCAGGGGGAAGAGAGAATAACAGAGGAAGAGAAGAAACACAAGGTTAGCAGGAAGAAGCAACTGTAATTTCTGTATTCATTTCTACCGTTCCCAGGTTTACCGTACACCTAATTAAAGGAAAACAAAAGCAACTAGAAAGCTGAGCTGGCCACTATTTGGCCTTTAAAACAGAAAGTGTCATAAAAGCAGGATCACTAAAGCTGCAGGAGGGAGTGGATGCCGTAGGTAATGATGGACCGTTGGGAATTAGCACACGTCGCATGATCGGCCACATCAGTCGTTCCTTGCTTACATCACTCAATAACTGTTATATGACCATTACTACTCGACTATCATCTCCTGCCCTTTGTTGACTAATGCTACCCAAATTTGACGTCTAAAATCTCCAAAATACCATTGGCCATTGCAAACTAATCCTGACAACCTTAGCTGATTGTCTTTGCCGACCATCAACCAACACAAACACCCATAATTTATGCCCACATAAAAATAATTAATTTATGTCAAAATTTAGTATCAATATCAATGCAATCACTTGAAGAAATGTTCATTTGAGAAGCAATGGAGCTGAACGTAACTTCTGTTACTTTGTTATTTGCTGTTCGGTGTATTTCTTGTGGAGGGAACGAAACAATGATATTTCTATATTTGTATTATTTTTCTGTTGCACTCAAATGGTCTCGACAACTAAGTAAAAGCTTCATTCATACTCATATTAGACTATAATAATACAATCATGAGCCACATGGCATGATCACCATTTGCCATGTGGCAATTTGTGTGGGTGCCATTTGAAGTTTTAAGTCATGCATGAATATGGGATCAAGCCATAGTGTCCTTAATCTGTGCTCATTTATTTGACCAGGTTGTAACATATTGTTTAAGATGATATATTAAATAACTCTATTTTTTTTTTCTATCGACATACTTATCTTGTTAAAATTACAATTTAACCTCTTTGGAGCACACGGCCATCGCTTTTTTTTATCGAAAGCTGATGTCATTGAATAAATTTATCTTAATAACAATTTCGTTTGGATTGTTCCGTACTGACATCACTCAATAACTGTTATCTGATCGACTGTTATCTCATGGAATAATTATTACATCCTCCGACCGGATGCAGAAGAACATTCGGTCGTAGGCAAAATCGCGCCTATACCGAGGTGTACCGAGTCAAATCGCGCCTATACCGAGGTGTACCGAGTTTTTTGAAAACTCGGTACACCTCTGTATAGGCGCGATTTTGCCTACGACCGAATATTCCTCTGCATCCTTACACCGAACCAAATAAAAGTTCCATCTTCTGCCCTTTGTTGGCTTATGCTATTCAAATTTGACGTCTAAAATCTCCAAAAAACCTTAGCTGATTGTCTTTGCCGACCATCAACCAACACAAACACCCATAATTTATGCCCACATAAAAATAATTAATTTATGTCAAAATTTAGTATCAATATCAATGCAATCACTTGAAGAGATGTTCATTTGAGAAGCAATGGAGCAGTTTATATACAAATGACCAATTAAAATCCACACCCAACAACTTCTCAATACCTACGAGTACTTCTCTTTGACGATTTGACAAGCAAATTCTCTTACAAACTACTTATTGTCACTTTGGAATGAGCTGAAATGCACACTGAAGCACATGCAATCAACCTTCAAGGTCTGATAATCTTCATGCTTGTAAGACAACGGGACCTTTCCCTGCCTGTGGCAATTTTTACAGAAGCTGAAACTTCGCCTTCTCTGCTTCAATCTAGATCCTGTAATCGAAAAATTACATATTGAACAGGCGCGTGCCCCATGGCGCACTTGGTCACTAGCTTCAAGCTTCAGCAGCGTTTCTAAGATTCCAAAACCCCTGTTTTTATTGTCGAACAAGTCGATGAATTCGATGAACGAGATCTTGGAGTCAGCAGACAAATCCTGCGTTTCAATGAGGCCGCTAACGGCTTCAGAAGGGATGAACACTGTCCGAAGCAGCTTAAGATAAGCAGTGGCATCACTTCTCCAGATTTGGTTTCCTCCTCTGTTGATAGGCCTCCACAGAAGCGCGTCGAAAGCCACCTGCTTTCGCCGGCGGGCCGAACCGGAGCAGATTGGAGCAAGAACTGCAAGCAGCATGCCGAGATCAACTTTAGTAGAAAAGCTAGAAGCTTCCATTACAGATAGAACCCTCTCATTGATGGATTTTAGTGCTGCTATGAAGGCCTCTGCTTTGAGAAAGTGAAGCATTCGACGGAGGACTATCTCCACGGCGGCCTTACGGATTGTACCAGTAGAAGGAGAAATCGCTGCATTTGTTTCTATTAGTTCCTTGCTGAGCACTTCAACGTCGCAATGGCCTAGCCTGCTGAGATTCTGAAATGCTTGGATTTCTAACGCATTGGCCAAGTCCTGCTTTACCGATGTCTTTTCTCCATCCCGTATAAAGTTTACCGGCTCCACTGCGAGAAAAGCGACATCTTCATCGTCGGCGGCGCCATACTTCTTCTTCTTGTTCATCTTCTGAAGCTTCTTGAGGTCTGAAAGGGCGTCGTAGACCTCGATTCTGTTGGTCATGGAAAAGGCTTCGTTCATTGCTTTCTTCGCTTCGTCGACCTCACCTTCGCCGAGAAAGGCGACAGCTTTATTCAATTGAGCACGCCAATGGCTCGGCTGTTCGGCGAGGACACGGGAATACATTTCTAAAGCTCTGGGGAACAGCCCCCTGTCCATTAGCAAGCCTCCAAGATTATACAAAGCATCAGCATGGTTTGGATTCAAATCAATGGCTTTTTGGAACTCTTGAATTGCCCTCTCATCCTCGCCTCCCATGGCGTGAAGCGCAGAGCCGAGGTCGCAGTGAGCGTCAGCATAGTGCGGATTCAAAAAGACAGCCTCCTCAAGGGCCTTCACGGCTGCCTTGACCTCGCCAACGCCTAGAAGAGCGCTGCCGAGGAGTTTAAGCGCGCGGAAATGCGAAGGGCAGAGAATGGCGGCCTCGCGGTAATGCTCGCAGGAGCCGAGAAGCATTCCTTCTGCTTCTAACGAAATTCCGAGGTTGACATGGATTTGGGGAAGAAGTTGAGCGCAATTATGCGAATTCTTGGTGGCTTGAGCAAGTGCGAGGAGGAACTCCTCTTTGGCTTCGGCATGTTGACCGAGAGTGTAAAGCGCGTTGCCGGCGTGGAAACGGGAAATTACGTTGGCGGGTTGGAGTTTGCACGCGCTGCGGAAACTAACGAAGGCCTCGTGGAAGAAGCCATAGTCGTAGAGAGCGCGGCCAAGAGCAATGTGACCTTCAAAGGCCTCATCGAGGGAGCACGCTGCGTCAGCTCGGCGGCGGAGCGCCGTGAGCTCCTTGTCAAAGGCGGCGTCTTGGTAGGTCTTCTCTTCCCAGAGAAGAGAAGAGTTGCGGATTCCGAACGCCCCGGACCACCCTGCATCGGACAAAATATCAAATTTGTTTTTTTGGCCATGTTTTGAGCAGAGGCGCTTGATGAGCAGGTCAAGGTCGTCGATGAGTGAACATGTGGAGTCGAAAACTATGCCAGCATTGTGGCTGGTGTCGGCGGATGATAGCTGAAGAGAAAGGGTGGAGAAATCACGGTTAACATCGCCGGCGCCGTCGTCGTAAGTGCGGAGGAGGCCTCCAAGAGAAAGACCGGAGGAAGGGGAGATAAAGTCGGCGTACGTGCGGAAGACCTCGTCGAGGATGGCATGGAGCTGGTCGTCGGTGAACTTGACTCGAGGGTTGACGGCGACAACCAGCGCCAACATCTCCTCCCGGTTCAGCCCGCCGTCGCGGTTCACGTCGAACCTATCGAATATCTGCTTCACCTTGTCGATCCGAGTACCGCGATTCAAGCCCATTGCCGCCGCCCCTCTCTCTAACGTTCAGTGATTCTGTCTGTTTTAATGCATTGTTCTCGTTTTAGATCTGCACAAGAGAGGATGGACCAAGAGGCGTGGGTGAAAAAGTACAAAAGAGAAAAAGGAGACCACATGGAGATGGGGGTTTGGCCGTCGCTGTTACCTGCGTTTAATTAACTCGGGCAAATTAAAAGCTCATCCTTTAACCGCGCGAGAGATTTGAAGAGCTGAGGAAGACGGCAAAAGGTTCGGTCTGTTACCCTACCTTTGTCGGATGCTGACGATAGAAGCGTTGTTCTACTACTGCTGGGCAATAACTTGCTGAGATTAGAACAAAAATTTAACCAAAGATATGTAAATTAGTTGTTTTTATTTTTTTTATGACTCAATTTCATATATTTATTTAAACAATATCCTTCTAAATATTTTTTTAATTGAAATATATAATAAAAAAATAATTTTGATATTCATAGACTACTCAAGAAATTATGAATTGATTTAAAATAGTTAAAATTTGAATCAATTTGAATTTGACCGAAGCCAAGTGCACATTTAGGAGAATGGGGGCATGGGAGCACAACACTTAAACGACTAAAGAAAATTATGACTACAGCGTAGCCATGGCATGGAGAAAGAAACTTTGAGGGGCAATTTGGTAGCTGATTTAGGTTGGATTTGCGTAAAATCCAAGCCGAATTTGAGCGAACTCCAGCCAAACAGCCTAAAATGTAGAACCAAATCTCATGACAAATGAAAGCCGCCATAGATAGAAAATCCTGCCATTTAGTGCTAAATCCCAGATTTCTAAAATCCTATTTTTTGTCGAGTTTACGAAATCCATTGACTCGAGAGGAGGAGGCTACTCGTTAAATCCGCTTTATAGCCAAACAGTCACACGGAATTTAATAGGATTTATTATGAAAATTACCAAACAAATTTCAGGATTTAGGCCCCTCGTGATTTCTTAAATCCGAATTTAGAGAATTTACAAAATCCTACTTAAATCAAATCATGGGTGCTACCAAATAGCCCCTGATGACGATACAGAATGTTTTGCATGATGCTTAGGATTTGAAAAAAATTTGACAATAATCAAGAACATACGGCATCTAATTTACATTTAATGTTTTATTTTTTAAAATAATGAATTCAATAATTTCATTGTTTAAATAGTTAATGTCGATTCAAAGCCTGAATGAAAAAGCCGAGTAACATTATAGAAAAAAATCATTTTATGCCCTACTGCGAAAATTTTCTGGATCCGTGATAAGGAGCCAATTTTGTATTTAGAACTACTTTCACTCCTATTGTTGCCAAGGTTGGGCTTGGAGATACAATCAGTGAGGCTGCAAGGAGACTGTCTTAGCGTCGAGAAATTATTACATGTGGAATCCGGACGTAGCTATGCATCCATACTCCAACAAAACTGTGACAAGTGGATATTTCATATGTATATTTTTATTTTATTTTTATTTTTGCCAATCTGACCGGCCCATCCAAGCCAAAAGGTGATAGTTTTAACTTTTTGAAAAAGGCCTTCACCATCCCGTTCAAATTTAGGATTTAGAGTTGACGATCCTTGTTTTAAGTAAAAAAACCCTACAAAAGCTTCCCCAATATTTAGGATTTTAACTAAATAAAACTTTTGATACCTATAGAGAAAGAAACGAGGAATGGTTGATGAAGAGGATGACTAATTTGGAGGAGGATGTTGCATTCTTCGAGGAGATGACATACATGATATGGAGGCTAAAAGGCAGTATGCAAATGTCCAATAAGACTTGAAGATAACAAGCCTATAGCCAACCATGGAGAGTTTACGGTATGAAGAGGAAGTTAATTTGGTTGGAGGTGATGTACTCCTACAAAGTTTTTAGGGTTTCCCATAAATGCATAAGTTTTTTTTTTTATTATTTCTAAACAAAATTTTTACGAGGTGAATTTTACTGGAATATTGTCTTCCCCTTGTACATCTATATGCTTATACAACACACTATGTATAAGCTTGTAGATTGTTAATACACGCTTAATATATATTGAATGTGTATAATGCCCCTTGTATACAAGCTGTGCATTGACTATATATTGATTGTGTACAAGCTATATATTGATTATGTATTGAATGTGAAGAAGCTGTATATTAATTGTGTATTGATTGTGCACAAGTTGTGTATTAACTGTGTGTGCATAAGCTGTGTATTGACAATGTGCAAAATGTGTATTGACTGTGTATAAATTGTATATTTACACTATAGGAAAAATGCTCATTTCCGATGGAATTTCCAGCGAAAATAAATCCGTTAGACATTTCGGTGGTTTTTTCAGCGTATTTTCGATGGAATATTTTCGGTGGAATTTCTCGGGGTGTCCGATGAGTTTACGGTATGAAGAGGAAGTTAATTTGGTTGGAGGTGATGTAAGTTTAACTTATCGATAAATTTCAAACTCCTACAAAGTTTTTAGGGTTTCCCATAAATGCATAAGTTTTTTTTTTTTTTATTTCTAAACAAAATTTTTACGAAGTGAATTTTATTGGAATATTGTCATCCCCTTGTACATCTATATGCTTATACAACACACTATGTACAAGCTTGTAGATTGTTAATACACACTTAATATGTATTGAATGTGTATATTGAATGTGTATAATGCCCCTTTTATATGTATTGACTACATATTGATTGTGTACAAGCTATACATTTATTATGTATTGAATGCTTACAAGTTGTATATTGATTGTGTATTAACTGTGCACAAGCTGTGTATTAACTGTTCATAAGCTGTGTATTGACTATGTGCAAATTGTGTATTGACTATGTATAAATTGTATATTTACACTACAGGAAAAACGCTCATTTCTGGTGGAATTTCCAGCGGAAATAAATCTGTTAGACATTCCCGCGGTTTTTTCATCGTATTTTCGATGGAATATTTCCGGTGGAATTTCTCGGAGTTTCCAATGAATTTTTCGCATGATTTTCTGAAGGATTTTCCGATGGTATTTCTAACAAAATTTCCAGCGAATTTCCGACGAAATTTTTATTTTTTTGGAAAATAATTATTAAAAATATTTAAAATTATTAATTTTGTTAAACTAAAAAAATTAAACAGTTTTAATAATTATTTATATGTTAATTTAAATTAAGAAATTTAACAATTTATTATGAAATTAAATTATATTTATTAATCGTTTTGATATTTCAAAAGAATTAGCATTACTTTTAAAATAATCAGATAAATATGTATTAATTTTAATATTCTATGAGTTTTAATATAAATATAAAAATATTGCATTTAAATTACTTTGCTCAAGTGGTGTGATGGTAGGGGGTCTCATATTTTCCACGTAAGCGCGTAGGTGTGCCTGGGCAGGTTGCGGGCGAGCATACGGGCGGGCTTGAGGCAGGTCGCGCGGGCAGGTAGTGCGGGCGGGCCCGAATTGAGTTACTGAGTGGGCTTCCGGTTGGGTCGCATGGGTTGGTTGGAAGTGCGGGTTGTATGGCTTGTGGCCGGGCCTCGGGGTCCGGTTGGGCTTGGCACAAATTTAATGTTTTCTTTTATTTATGGGTGGAAATTTCGCCATAAAATTTACAGTTAGAAATTTCGCCGAAAAATCCACCGGAAATATTTCCGGCGGATTATTTTATGATGGTAATATTTTTCTGACTTGTGTTTTACTGTCGAATAATTTTCTATCTAAAATCCACCGATAATGCTTATTTCTAACTGATTTTTGGCATTTTCCGATGAATTTTTGCCGTCGGTAACACAGATTTTTCCTGTAGTGTTACTGTGTATTGATTAGGTACAAGCTATATATTTATTGCGTATCGACTATATACAAGCTATGTATTAACTGTGTATTGACTTTGTACTAGCTTGTAACCATTTTGTATAAGCTGTGTATTGACTGCTTTTTGTGAAGCTGTGTATTAATTATGTTCTAGCTTGTATTGATTGTGTATTAATTACGTACCATCCTATAAACACTATTTATAAGTTGTGTATTGACTGTATTTTGATTGTGTGCCAACTTATATCCACTATGTATAAGCTATGTATTGATTGTGTACTGATTATGTAATGATTGTATACAAGCTTGAACACTATAAATACAACCACATATAATGTATTAGTTTCTCTTATATGCACCATATGGTGTGTTTACGTGTATTAATTGTATATTGATTGTGTATAAGCTATGTATTAATGATATATTGTCTATATAACAGCTTGTTGTACACTAGGTTTGTATAAGGATGAGAAAGAGACATACGAGTTGTACTACAAGTATGCTCATGATGCTGTTGGTTTTAGTGTTCATAAGGATTATCACAGTTATTGGGCAAATTCTAAAAAAAAATAAAATGCATGAGCTTTATTTTTTTCAAAACCAAATTTCAAGAAGGGTATTGATTTGAATTCTCAAACAAAATTTAAAAAATTACATACTAGAATGGGTTGTCCAATTATGATTAGGTTTATTATGGATAAAGATGGATATTGTAAGGCATAAAAATTTATTGAAAATTACAATCATGATTTGGCTAGGCTAAAAGATCAACATCTACTTAGATCATGTACGTTTATTGTGCATGTGATCATCTTAGTGACGTTTAATCATGGTCTCAAAAAAGGACCATTAAAATATATACTTGGATTGAAGGATCCAAAGACGCAGGCCTAAATGTTGAAACTTAGTAATGGTCATGTGAATCCCAAAGAATATAACAATAGAAATAATTCAAGTTAGCAACTAAAATTCATTAGATCATAGCATTGACGCCATCATTATTTGACAAATAAGTATCGAGTGACTTCAACTTGACAAAAGTTGAAATCATCATGATAATTATTGGTCACATCAATATCATCAATCATTAGTTGAGCATAAAAATACATTGGCATACTAGCCTCTTATTAGATATAAATCACCAGTAGTGAATACAAATCCCACTTACACTCCTTTGTGAGTATCGTATGTAGAGTTAGTGAAAACA